GGCCACAACCATTTCCTTCCACATTAAGTACAATTAATTAGTCCCTATTTTCTACCAGCTGGAGCTACGAAAAGTAAGCAGTTCCTTAACCGTCGTTAAACAAACAGCGAATTGGTAATTTATGCATTCACCGACCAAATATTGCAGTTTGGAATGCGCATTGAGACCCTGGTTTTAAATCTTAATCTACCCACAATTATCACGACTCAACTTCCTGTATAAATATTTATTTTTTCCAAGCTGACGCATTTTCTACTGTGTCATTTCCAGTTCATCACATGCAGTGCTTTACAACGTCGTTAAATTTGAAATGTCAATTTACACGCTCTGTGCTTTTCAGCGTTGCGTATTTATTGACATCGTTGAGGTTTTAACTGGGTAAGTACATAATTTGGAATGATTTGCAAAGATGAACGTGAAATGATTAGGTAAGGATTTGGAAGTAGGCGACCATGGTGCGCTTGAAGACACTCTCTTCGAATTCCCCTGAGACTCAGTAAATATCTTTAACGCATTGATTGTGATTGACTTTAGCCTGGCTGAAATGAGAACCGGGTACGTGTGGAATGCAAGTTCTGAGCATTATCATTACACCAAAGCTTTCGTCAGTGTTGTGTATTGAGATATGTCCTCGCAAATTGAGACATATAACACGCATAAGGAAGTTGTGAGCGACGTACAAAATTTTAGCCGGAAAATCTCAACTGAAGAGACGACTTGATAGACCTAGGTGCAGGAAGGTGTATAATATTAAAAATTGTTTTATAGAAATAGCGTACAAGATTACTAATTGCATTCGGTTGGTATAGAAATAGGTTCATTGACGAGGTCTTGTGAACGCGACTAGCTATTTTTTTTTTTTTTTTGTATTTTTGTACCTTGAATTATTTAAAGTAAGATGGCGCAACGTAGTTTAAATTAGTTTACTTTATTAATGACGCAGGTTGTGTGGTCTCTGCAGCTGGTAAATCGAGTTCCTACTACTCTTTACTGGCGGGTCACAGAGTTAAAAGATAAACTCTTAATTAAAGGCAAAGCACATTGTAACGGTTGCACAGCACAAACTTTCCCTGATCATTTACGTTTTTCATACATTATTTAACAACGTTGTATGAACTTCATAGGTTTTATAACGTAAATAGAAAATTTTAGCATGATAATGTATTCTGAAAAGGAACGATTTAGTATAGAAAATTGGTTGTCCGGATTGTGGCTGTGTATTCGCTGATGTTACACTTAATTTCGAATGTTGTAGTGTAAACATGATTTCAAGCGACATTCACAGATTCGTTATGATAGTAGTGATGTTGATTTTTAAGTGTTTCTTATGCTTTCGTCCGGTATATAATTAAAACATTGTCATGTGCTCTACCCTGACGGAGAAATATTGTCATTTAAGGGTCTCACTGCGACGAATATGATGATGGCGGTTGTCATCCTGGAAGTTGCGCCGTGTGTTCTGTTAGGCATTGACCGACGTTTCAGAGGTGCGTACTACCCCCATTATCAGGGCATCGCCTTCAGAAACGTCTGTCGGTCGTCGGTCAGTATCTATCAGACTGCGTGGTGCAACATCCCAGAAGACGGCCATCTTCGGCACAAAATGAGTTTCGTTGATTTCACATTTTACTTTGTGGCCAGGAAAACCAGAGCCAGCTGTCCGTTGGCTAGTGAACGGAATTCTCGTGGACGAAGAATATGAACATAATACTGGTGACGTAATCGAGAACCGTCTTACGTGGTCGTCTGTAAAGCGCGAGGATCTGAAGTCTGTGCTGAGCTGTCAGGCCATCAACACCGTCCTCACAGAACCTCGGGAGGTCTCTCTCACCCTTGACATTCATTGTAAGTAATTAATGCTTTATGACTCTTCTTGTTTCATTGGTGAAGTTCTGTTATATATTTGGAATTTTTGTTAGGAGACTATGCCCTTTGTTATTTTTCTGATTTTTAGTATTCAGGTAGTTATTAGCTAATATACATGTCGAATGTGAAATTCAGTTACGAAACAGCGATAAACAGAACCTTCGAAATGAGTTGGACTTACGAATAGTCAGAAATTAAACGGACCTAAGTTAGGAGGGACTAAAAAATGTTGCCCAGATGTGACGGATGAGAAATATGTAAAAAAAATTTGATCGGGAAATGTCAGTGGAAGCGACCACGTGGTTGCGGTGAAGAGGATTATACAGGCTAATGAGATCTCGATAAATTTATTAATTTGAAGGGATGTGTGGAACTAACTCTGAATAGGGTACAGTATTGGGCATTCGTTAAGACGATAATATATTTTTATTAGCAGATTAAGTGTTAATTTTTTTAAGACTATTATACGTACTGAGCATATACTTCATGTTTACCTGTGCAAGTAATACGTATAGGCTCTTACTATAATTTCACATCATGTGCCATTTAAAAAACAACCGAATAAAGTCATATATAATAGTTTTGGTTGCGTTTTAAATGGAATACTTTTTACGTGTAAAGTTTCAGTGATACACCACACGTTTTTGTGTTTCTGCTCTATGTCGGTCTCCTTTGTTAACGCAGTACGACCTCTGACAGTACGGATACTGACCAAACAGCTGCCTTTGGTCGCTGACCGCCGCTACGAAGTATCGTGTGAGTCAGCTGGCTCGAGGCCCCCTGCCATCATCACGTGGTACAAGGGCAAGAGACCTCTGCGTCGAGTCAAGGTAAGGTCTTGTTGTCTTGATGAAATACAAAATGTCTCCTACCTTAAGGCAACGTCACGTCCAAGAACTTCTCCCGTTTTCTCACAAACGAGAATCTGAATGTTGAATCATGACGAATAACCATTGTACTGGATGCAAAATATATATGAGTCTGAGCTGCGTCATAATAAGAGGTGAAGGGAAGATGGAAAGTTGAAGTGGGGACGGTACGTCTTGTGCGACATCGCTCCTTCCATTCTCGTACGTCGGCTGGCTTACACCAACTCGTGTGTTTATAAAGGCGACGACATATCACGGAGATATTTAAAGAAGACAGAGCCAAGGCATTATTACCAATATCAGTTTGTTTTCTCTGTTTAAAGAAGTAATCGCTGTTTACACAGATAATTCTACGAAACGTAAAATAGTGCAGACTTGTATATTGTCAAAGAGGAGGGACAGATGTGTACCACTAGGTTTTAAATAGCTAAATCAACGTTAATAAGATCTTTGGTGCGTTTTTCTGTGGTGTGCTGTCCTGTGTACAGGTAGAGGCCTTGCGACGGGCTGATCCCTCGTCCAAGGAGTCCTACCAACTGTCTAATAGATAAAAGCCAACGAAAGTTGGGACCCGCAGTGCTCAGGCACTGAAGAATGGTCGCCTAAGTATCCTAAGTACCGGAAGGAAAGAGTAAATTTCGTAGATTTAAGATCAGATCTGAAGAGTTTATAAAAAGAATTCTTAAATGTGAATCGGATCAAATTGGCTCGGGATGTCTTCAATAGGCAAAATTTCCATCAATGCTGCAGCATACCTTCGGGTTCCATTAAACGACAAGAGTTTCTTGACCAGCGGAGTAGTTATTAGTGTCTCAAGAAAGATTCTTTTTCAGGGCTTCGTTCGTTACTTTGCGTGGCGTCCTGCGGCTTCTTGAGTGGATTTCTGTTCTATACAAGTCCGCGTCCTGTAACAGCTGGCACCAGATGAGTTCAGATGACGTCATTTTTCAACAGTATGGTTCCAATTACAAACTCTGATGAAGAATCTCCCCTTGCAATACCTCATTTGTTCGTCTGTCTCTGTCGACTAATAACGTTTTCAATTTCTGTTCTTAATTTATTCTTTATCTCATTCACTTCTCTATTCTTCTACTTTTTCGTTCCCCGTATTTTTATATTGGTCACGGCGTATTTCGTGTTCCATGCTTTCAGGAAATTCTTTGTTTTAAAGATCTCAGGAAACCAATCGCACTGCACTGAAATTAAAATCGCAGTCAGTGCTCGTATCTTTGTATTGATGTTATTGTTCTGTTTGTTTTGTACGAGCCACAGTGTAGTCGATATTTCCAAACAAGTTATCGTAGGCCAATATTAAAAACTTTATTTGATCGTTCAGATGGAAGTAAAATATTTGTGTTTTCGATACATTCGTCTGGACAGTAGTCTCTGTAAATTTCCAGGTAGAATCAAATAATACGGATACTCGCTGATATAGAAAATCACACACACGTAAGATGGAGTTGTGTTTGAAGACGAATTAAAGACAACGATTATATTCATTCGATTTTGCCAATTGATTTTTATTTTGTCCTCTGGGACGCTCCCAAAAACGATATGGCTATGCAATGAATCCTGGTATATTCTAATTAATAAATTTCCGCGATGTTTACGTTTTCTTACATTGAAAACGTAAAACCTAATTCGGATTTGAAGTGAGTACGAAGATGGCTGTCTTCTGGCTTGTAGCTCTATCTAGTCTGGTAGAAGTTTACCGACGTTTCAGAGATGCTTGCTGCCTTCCATCGTCAGGACGATGAGTACGACGGCCATCTTCATACATATCAATAGATGTTTTTTTTCCAGGAGGAGACAAGAGAAAATGTGACAGTGAGTGATCTGACCTTCGTGCCTACAACAGACGATGATGGGAAGTCGATCACTTGTCGGGCGGAGAACCCCAACATCACAGGCGCATATCTGGAGTCCAACTGGAAGATTGACGTGGTTTGTAAGTCGCTGTTTCACGACCCTAACTAATGGTTCATATCTGTGGACGTACAGAGCGGGACTCAGTCTTTATTCATTCTTAGGTTATTTAAAACCGCTGTATCAATCACCTAGTATCTTCCGAGTAAAAATTTAGCCCATTCTTCATGCACTGCTAGTTTATTGTATGAGTGTCGCGATCTATTGGTTGCCAAGTCTGGTTCATATACGAGTGGTTATACTGAGAGGAGTTACGTTGTTTTCCTCAGTGTTTGTTGGTCAACTCTGAGACGCTGCTTTAAATCAGGATATAATAATCTAGTATTCAAAGTAAACTGTTTATTTTATGTGTGTGATACTTCATTCGGTCGATACAGCAGCTTTAAAAGTCTGCAGACAGGTGTTGCTGTCTGAGATGGTATTTTAGTTTGAACACGGATGAGAGTTTATTTTTGAAAACATATCTTTGTCTCTCTCTGTACGTACACAGTTACTTATGGTATAGTCTAATCCCATTAGGGCTCTACATTTTTGTCCACCACAAGTATCGAAGTTTAGTAACTCTGAGTGAAAACAGTGTTTCCGGTTTTGATCTGCCCAAAACACGCGATCATTTATTCGGCTGTAATAATTTAATGCGTAAGAAAGGAGTACATCATTTACATCTGTCGTAAAAAATGTGACATGGAAAATGTCAAAAATTAGATACGGAATAAAAACAATAGTAGGCTACTTTTTATCTTTTTTTTAATTTTTAATTTTATTGAAAGTTTGATAATAGCTCAGGCGGGAATAGAATTTTGCGCTTTTATCAAATCTCAAAGTTCATCAACCCCACGGGACCCTATCCTGAGCCAACATTATTCATATTTCTTAAAGATATTCTAGTCTTCTGTCTAAGCATTTATTTCTCTTTAGGTTTTTCAGCGAAAATTGTTGTACGAATCTCTAATTTTTTTTCCCCATGCGTGTTACGTGGTCCTCACTTCTCGTCACCCCTCACTTAATGTTCCCTTTAATATTAGACGAATGTAGCAAATATATTTTCTTTTATAATAGATTTAAAATGTGAAGCTGGCCATTTGACCTCCCACTAGTGTCTAGGTAAAGAAGGCTTAGAGGTTTTCTTACAGTCTTCTACGCGTCGTGATATTAATCGGAGAAAGATTTTCATTTCATTGACGTTTATAACGAAAACTTAAGTTACGTAGAATGACTAACATAGAATCGATCCAGGGGCCTTCCCATGTACGAACGAGACACGTTGGACTCTGTGCAAATATTTTTGGTTTATTTCGTCTGAGAAGTTTTGAAGTGAGGCACCTGCTACGATAAGTTATAGGGTCTAATACGGAGTTATTTGTTTCGAGATACGAGTCATAAATCTTTTTGTTGCAAGCAGCGCACTCGTGCGGAAAGCCTCCCAACTTATGCATCTGAACGCTCGTTTTATTCCAGAATGATATTGTAAAACAACAGAATTCTACAAATTAGTTCGAAAATAACAGTTTTATCTTTAAGCACAAAACGTTTGTATTACAGAAAACTCCTTATTTCAGTAAGTTTAAAAACATCTTGTTCTCTTTAAGAGTCTGGAGTGGAGAGGGAAGGGAGAAAGAACATTAGAAAGGAGTTGTTCAAGAGGAATACAGAATAACCTCGTAGGTTCGGGCACAAAATAATTATAATACTTTTTGCTTGGCTACTTCTGGTAGTTCTGTATCTTGTAAATACAAGGAAAATAGAATAAAACGGCTCTGCGTGGTCTGTAATTGGATTCTCAACGCATCAGCCAATTATAAGTGATATAAGGGACCAAATACCAGTAATTAAAGAGGATTACGCATTTTAATTCCTTTCGCTTGGTCCAGCAGCTACTTCTTCGTTTCTTTTAGCCTTTGGCTGAGGAAGTAGAGGGAATTTTAATTTTTCCGTATCTTATGTCGTAATCCGACTGACTGCAGTTCTCCTTAAAAACCCACTAGACAAATTGTGAAACCTGAAATTCCGTTTCTCTGTCCACAATAGACAACCACTGGCTCCAGTCCTGAGCGAACCTTCACACGTCATTGCTCTAAGATACATTTTAATATTATCCTTTAATGTACGCCACGGTATTCTATGTTATACATTCTGTCCTAGAATTTTTATTTTTAATAATATTTACCATATATTTATCATCTCATGTGTACTACATTAACCTCCCGTCGTATCGTATGTTTACTCTGATAATACGTACAGTATCTGAGCTTCTTGTTATGAACCTTCCTCTACCCCTGTTACGTCTACTTCCTTCGTTATCACTTTAATACGTCATTAAATTAGGCGAGGATAGTCTTTTTTTCTGTATACTTTTAAATTCATTATTTATTAACGATCTCATTATTCGACGCTACGTATAATCTGAACTACTGATGGCGTCGTTAAACACATCTTAATAAAATACGGAACGGAAAATATAAAAAGAAATTATATGGAATGTGCTTTGGAAATTTTGGAAGCCCTGGCAGTAGTGACCTTACATGTGATGACCTTTATGAGCGAAAGCTGTTAGTCCATTTATGGGTTCAGGACTAGTTGTTTTCGTTCTATGACGTGGACCCATAAAAGAGTCATGCAAATGGCAACGCAATGCGGAGTCGAACCACTTGCTGCTCGTTGGGCTTACAGTGTTACACAGAAGCTGTTAACTGGCTGATAAAAGTCAGATTTGCTTCCAGAGTCGTATTCATTGGCCTAACGCTGTACGGTACGCCTGCGAATCTGCGTTTAGATTACACGCATAGCAAACCTGTCAGAGAAGTGGAGCACGGCTTTAAAGTTCCCACACTTATTTAGACCGAAAGTGGCATTAGTTGTTACGGATATTAAAATTAACGATACAGTCGAAACATGTAGCACGCATCGCAATATTAACAATGTATGCAAAAGTGAATATTTTTTTTAGTTTTTCGAAGGGAGTGTACGAGTAACTGTGAAATATAGTAAGAAAAAATATTTTTACTAAAATCTCCGCGCGAAGGAGCTAGGTATTAATTTTCTCTTAAGCAGCTTAAAGTATTTCTTTCCAGGTTAAGCTTCATAAGTGTAATTGCACGCTCCATCCGCTGTAATGCCGGAAAAAATGTCCGTGTATTTATTAAATTTATTTATATGAAATAGTATTTAATAAATTCCGTTAAAATTATATTCATCCTAAAGATTGGAGTACAGTTAACTTCCGAAATGTCGATCACGTTAAATATGCCTCAAGCAAAGTCTTTTCTGCCTGTAAATCTAGTAAAATATAATTTGCTTGGATAGACTTAGGTAAACGGGAAAACCATAGTCAGAATTCGAACAGGATACGTCCGTCTACATATTGCTGTACTTGGTGATTCGCCCCATGAAATACGATCTCGTAACACGGAATGGCTCTCAGCCTGAAATTCATTGGCACACCAAATACGCAACCAATGGTACTGTTCTGTTGTCGCCCATAGAGGGTAAAACTCGAGAACGGAAAAGGATATTTCATTTTTGCCTAATGACTGTGCAGTTTTATTTGGCTGTACAATGGGATCGATGAGGCAGATACTGAAGGTGGTCTCGCTGTTTCTGGCACAAAGCTCTCGTACGCATTTACTCTGTAATGAACAGTACAGTCACTTCTAAAACCATAATAAAATGTCAGTAATAAAGGATCTTACGGAAAATGGGTTGGGGTTATGAATTAGGTTGAACTGCTCCAGGTGGTGGGATTTTGTGAAGAAGGTAATGAAATTTCAGGTTTCATAAAATACTGGGAATTTATTCATTATCTGAACGTACTATTGGCTTCTCAAGGACATTGTTCCGTGGAGTTTCTTAGTTGTAAGTCGAAGATCCACTGAAAAATTTAGGGCTTTTAATATTGTAACTGCAGAAGTATTTCATCGGAAGTTATGTTGAATGTACACCTGATGGAAACTTGGAAGTCTGTCACTTTGATGATACGTCACAATGTAGGTGCATAACGTTAAGATGGCTCGCTCTTCAGGAAGACGTGCCTACAAAATTGTTCTATGAGGGTCTTCCCGAATTATGCATCGGCATTGCTAATATTTTAAAGAGGAAAGTATTCTATAAACTGTTGAGTTGTTTCCGTAATACTGAAAATCTGCATGAGGTCACGATTTGTCCGTTAGAATTTAAGTTATCTCATACCAGGTAGTAAGGTATGTACTAATATATAAATTCGTGAATTTAAGAAAAAATATTTTAGACTCTTGAGATTTTTGGAACACTCGGTATATACACAACGGTAATTTATCTGGAAGACTTTCGGGTCAGTTCATTGTTCTTTGTCTCCAGTTCCACCTATCGTCTCGCTTATGCTTGGAAGCACTCTGAACCCAGACGACATCAAGGAAGGCGATGACGTTTACTTCGAGTGCCACGTGAAGGCAAATCCGCCCTGGAGGAAACTCAGCTGGCTCCACAACGTGAGTAGAAACTCTTCAGTTCCTTGCTTCTAGCTACTCAGACGAAAGCCGCTGCCATTTTGCTCTGCATTCACTAATATTTGTGTGATTTGAGGTTTTCACAGCGATGAGTATGAAGATTTCTGTCTTCTGGGTTGTCTCACCGTCCCTCAACCGCACGAATAAAATTTCTACAATTACGAATTTTAACCAGATCATCAGTTTAGGGGTTTTATGTTCCTCTGGGATTGTCCTTCTTGCTTTAATAAATCTAACAATATTAAGCTAAGGGCAAATTCAGGAAGAGCCTTAGGTAAGCCGATAACTGCGACAGCCGCCCGGAAGATTTGATCCGGTCTCCCTGATCTGATGCAACACGCAGCACATGCACTCGCGGCTTTGCCGTCTCCTCGTGATCATCCTTGCAAATTGTATTCCAAGTTCTGTGCAGACACGCGTTTGAATATACAGCACCTGTTCTTATTCAGGGAACTTTCCGAGTGCCTCCTCCCCGGCGCTTGGTAAATGTTACATCGTACCGTGAGAAAACACTGCCGTATGTGCGGCACTGAGAAAAATCATTCTTAGGCAAAGAACTTTAGAGGTTGCTGTGAATAAATTCTCCACAATTAGGCCCACAGTCATTTGAGTGGGCGTCACACATTCGGAATTCTCGTAATCGCCTTGAGATTCATAATTGATCGTAGCGCGTCCCTCAGACGAGCTTGAGCGGGAGAACGTTAAAGTTTTATAGGTACCGAATCCCATGTCTCATTTAATAATGAAAAAGATTCCACTCGTACCTGCCATTCCCTGCGGTCAGACTCGCTGTGCGGAGAGCAGATCGCAAATTCAGCTTTAAGAGCGTTTGACGTAGTGCATTTATACGAACAGCGTGTTTTTTTTTTTAAAGATTCTCGTTTTGTGTCATATGCAGAATATACAGAGGATGTAACAAAAACTCGTATTTATAACGTCATATAAATGAATGTATATTTTTCACGGAAGACATTTTGAATTCAAAATGCAACTGACAGATTTACTGACTGAGATCTTGAGGTTCTTATGGCGATGAATATGTCTACTGTGATCATAGGGGTTATGGCGCCGTGGTATTCTTTGCTTTAATACCGACGTTTCGGAGGAACATATCTCTAAGATGGGAGAGATTCTTTCCTCCGAATCAGAACCCAGAAGATCAAAATTGACACATTTTGTAGTGTTTATCTTATCCCAAAGTTCCCGGGAAAATCAAAATTATATTACGATGATGTTGGGTTTGGAGTCAGTATTCTTTGTTATAGTTGATAAATGTGATACAAATTTCATAGGAAGCGTTAATAGACGCATACATTCATATATTTTAGATTTATTTGTGTAACGAATCAAACAGTGTAAGAAATAAATGAACTCATGATTATTAAAAATTTGCTTATGTTCAAAATAAATGCCAATATAATTACGCGTGTGTAAACTGATCGGCTGTTCATCAGATCCAAACTACGGTACGCTCTATTACGTACGTCGGGGGTGATGAACCTTTTGTTTCCTGTGACAGTATTAACCCTGGACCGCTTAATTATGAATGAAATCAATTTGTTAAAATGTTAATGGCAGTTTATTAAACGTGCTATTACTACAGGTAACTTATGTTACGGAAATGATTCCATAATTTTCTGTAGGAAATATATTAAACACCAAATTAAAATTAAATGTTTTAATTTACGTTACAGTTGCTTTATTGTATAGAGCAATACGTTGTTATAAAATGTACGCCCAACTCACGGACCGCGGGTTGAATCTTTGCTATAATTTCCTGATGTTGCTGTTATTCCACAAGTATATTTTTCTTTCATTTCACTGACTGTTTTGAATATCACAGATGCCAGGATATAAACGTATATGTTGAATCATAATAACCGTGGTATGATTCCTACTTTTATATTTTTTTTTATAAATAATAATTATGAACTTCTCGAATATTTTTTTCTGTTTCTTGGAATTTTGGGACTTGTACCTCGTTTTCAGTGAGTGACCTCCACAAATAACTTTCTTTCAGGGATAAATACATCCAAATTTCCCAGAACTGGATCATGTTACGTAAGCCCTGCCATCTCATGGTGAGGTGACGTAACACAATACTGCGCTAAACCAACAATCCATCAGTCTGACAGCGTCTCCCACTCAGGACGGCTACTTGTACTTTCCGTTAACGTCACCGGCCGATCAGAACAACTATCGACATCTGGGCTTTAGCTCGCTTCCTTGTTGTGACTAGCTTAGTAAACAACTGCTAGAGAATTAGTTCAGTGCCTTGAGCGTGTGTCACCGTTTTCTGGCCCATATGGTGCAAAGTATCTCGTTTCAGGGGCGTTTGATAACAAGACAACGAAAAGTCTGCTGTAGATTTTTGTTTTGTATGAATCCACTTTGAATGCCGTCCATCTTGACGGATGATTTTCGTTATTTTCCACGGTCTTTCCAGGACTACGTCAAATTTCCTTCAGTCTCGCCATTCTTGTGTCATTCGACGCCATCCATAACAGTCGCAGTCCAAATTGTCTTGTGGTTACTTCCGGTGCAGAATTGTTATATCTGGTCTGACTGACCTTGCTGATTTGCAAACAAATAATGAATTTGCAACAGAAATCAAATCACGCCCGCGTCTTTCCACATCCTAAACCAGGGATGTTAATCGGGCTTACTGCTAACATGAACGCTTCAGACTATGAATTCTTGTTTTATTTTTCATTTTACGCTATGTAACCAACGCATTTAAAATATTAATAAATGGACAAGGAACCATAACAAAGTTTAGTGATTTATGTCTTAGCATATGACCATGTTAACAACAGGCCCAAAGTTTATGTGGAATGGAATGTTAAATAATAAGTGGTGTGAAGAGTGAAAAGGGTGTGGTGACGTAATATATGGCCGTGGCATATTACTCCCCGTTGGTCCGCATCGTGAGTGTTTTGAATGCAATTTGCCGTACATTACAAGGCTATATTCCCATCTATGTCTAGGTCTTGTAAATGGCGTATTCCCCTAATCAGATGTTTGTTTCTGCACACGATCTACATTTACAGCCCATATTATCTACTTCAAAATTATTTTTATTACAGTTTGATTTGATTGATATTTTGTATTTTTTTTACGATGTGTATATTCTGAAAGTATCCTTTATTAATAAGCTCTTCTCTGGCTATCAGCCGTGTTAGTTGGTAATTAATCGCCGACGTTTCGAGGACCATCTCTGTCATCCAACTAACATGGCTGATAGCCCGAGAAGACTTTATTATTGAAAGTCGCCGTGAAAGCTTCACATCATATATCCGTTACTTCTCCGTGCACGGACTATGGACTCGCTCCTTAAAGACGAAAGTTAGGTATACTGCGTTCCAGCGTTTTTGGCGTTTTGACTAGGCGTGACATCATTCCAAAGCGTGACGAGGGGACGCCTTAAGTGTTAAAACATCTCCAAGATTTTAAAAGAGTGACAAAGCGTGACTACCCATGACGTAATGTAACGTCGTGACGGGATGTGGTCATAAGTGACGAAACGTGACAAAGATATTGAACACGTTACCTAAGCCAACTAACTTACCCAACCTATCTTAACCTTGCTTAACTTTACTTAACCTAAATCACCCTAACCTAACCAAACCTGATCTAACCTAACTCAAACTTTATAACCTAACCTTACCTGTCGTAACATCATCTAACGTATAGCAAAGTTCCCAATATTAACCGAGCTTTACGTATACTGCGTTCCAGCGTTTTTGGCCGCTGAACTTTTGTGAATTGGAACCTTGCAGCGAGTCAGTTAAGAGAAGTTTGCTGGAAGGGATGGCAGCAGGCCGCGTACTGTACACTCCAAATAAAATATCACCACGTTATGTAACACAGGAAAGTCGAATTCACTACACTACACATCACTAGAAAATTAAGACTACAGAGAGTATTAGATAATTTTATCTTCTTCACAAGTCTTCGGTCCCTTTCCAGTTCTTCCACTGCTCACAGACCATCGCTTTCTGACATCACTCGATGCATCACTACCGCTGCTGCTGTTCACTCCATTATCTTCAATTATAATACGTTCAATGCCGTCTTCGGTTATGCCTTCTTGCTCATAATAAATTTGTTCTAATTTTTCCACATGCTGACGTACATTATCCCATTTCTCTTGCCCAATTTCTTCGAATCTCTGGCTACATACCTGGTCGACGTCCTTAATTTTAGATGTGTTCTTGTTTGCAACCCATTTTTCATCTGTCCAAATAAGTTCAATAGGGTTTAATTCGGGATTGTACGGTGGAAGTCTCAGCACAGTACGTTCTTTGACTGCCAAAATCTGATCAATCGCATAATATTTGTGCTTTGACTTATTTAATTTGATTAAATCGTACAGTTGAGCTTTCAACACGTTGTCACAAAATGGGATGTTTACTTCCAATAGCCAGGCTTTCATTTCGTCCTTCTTTGATTAAGACGTCGGTGGTCTGTCTGTCTGAGGCGTTATCAACGACCAGAAAGGAGATTGCAACGAACGGGTGGCAGTGTATTTGAGTGACGAGATGTGACCTAAAGAGTCGAAATGTATCGAATATTTACAAAGCGTGACAAGGCATGACCAAGAGTGACAAAGCGTGACTACTGTAAGGGCGTGACCAATTGTGGTCATAAGTGTCAAAACGTCACAAAAAGTTTCAAAACATTACGTAACCTAACAAAACCCACAACAAACTTAACCTAGCACATCCCAACCTTACTTAACCCAACTTATCCTATCCTACCCTAACCTGTCACATCTTCATCTAACTCATTGCAAGGTAGTCTCAGCACAGTACGTTCTTTGACTGCTAAAATCTGATCAATCGCATATTATTTGTGCTTTGACTTATTTAATTTGATTAAATCGTACAGTTGAGCTTTAAACACGTTGTCACAAAATGGGATGTTTATTTCCAATAGCCAGGCTTTAATTTCGTCCTTCTTTGATTAAGACGTCGGTGGTC